TATATATAACTTATCAATATGTTCTCACATAGTGGAAGGGACATATGAAAAATCTTGGGCATAATATATAAGGGCATTAATCTCATAATATATATATATATATATTAGTCTTCCTGATTATAATAGCAAGTTTTTCCTAGGGTCTGAGGCAAGAGCAAGCCTTCAGATGTGAGTCAGATAATTTCTAGCATTTGAGAAAGAAGATATGTCGATACTGATGACCAGCAGTCAGATACAGACCATACATAAAACCAGAGAATAGTAGGGGGAAAGATTAGGAAGCATTTACTACATTGAATTATCTAATTTAAACTTCACATTAATCCTCTAATATAAATTACAGCGGTGAAATAACCATTCCAGCCATCAAAAAGCAAAACTGACTTAGTTCCTGGAGAAAGGAAGCTTTCTGCTGAGAGTCAGCCCTGGGTCCCAGGATGCTTTCTAAAAGTAATTGCCGGTGTGAGAAACAGTTCTTGCACCTTGGTTGCTACTCTTCATTACGTTTTTCTTTTTCGATGAAAGGATTGTTGGGTAATATCAAAGACAAAGAACAATGCATATGTACTCAAGTTACTTGTACCTATGGGTGGCTTCCTGGTGTGCAATAAATGTTAAACTAGGTTTTCCAAGGACATAAATCTTCAACACTATTTCCGACATGATGAGGGAAAACCACCCCCAATACCCTAGGGAAAAAAAGCTTCAGATTTCATAGGTCCTCCAAAGTTTAGAAGCAGCCCTGAAGCGACTCAGTGTCGTCCCTGGAGACAGTTTCCAAGATTTTAACCACCTACTGGCAACTCAATTTCTGTCCACCTTGTCACATCGCATCCTCGCCCAAGAGTACGCAGGCTGTCACCCCTTCCCACCCTAGCCAGGGAGACGCTGGCCTGGAGGACGTCACAGCTCGGGAGGGCAGCAGCCCTTCGCCAAGGGGAGTGGAGTGGAAGGGGAGAGGCGAGTTCTGTATTTGGGTGGCTCCCTTTCGGGGAGAATCTAGGGGCGGCTGGGGGTCGCCTGGGGTCCCAGTTAGACCCTTTCCTGACTCAGCGCGGGAAAACTCGCCGCAGCCGCAGCTCAACATCCCGGGAACGAAGCTCCGGGGCGCGGCGGGGCGGGGAGGGGTGGGGCGGGGGTGTGAGCGGCGCCCGCCTCCAGTGCGCAGGCGCGAGCGCGGCGGGCGAGGCCCGGCCGGGAGCGCGGCGGCGGCGGCGGCGGCGGCAGCGGCAGCGGAGAGCGCGGGAAGATGGCGGCAGCGGCTACAGCGGCGGGGGCCGAGCAGGTCTGTGAACCCCGCTGCGGCTGGGGCTAGAGGAGCGAGCGAGGCGGGATCCTGCCGGTAGGCCACCGGAAGGGTGGCCGGCGGGGCGCGAGGGCCAGCGGGGAGTGGACTCCGCGGGGCGGGGCGGGGCGGGAGGAGCTGTCCGCCACCGGGATGCTGGCAAAGGCGAGGCGCGACCCCGAACAGGAGCTCCCTCGCCGGGAAGGGGGAGCCTGCCGCGGCCCTCGGCCTAGCTTGGCTTGGCTATCCATCGTCGGCGGTGAGAAGGGGACACTGTCCTCAGGGATCGGGAGGCCACCGTGCCAGTCTGGAGCCTACTCCGGGACGTGCCCCGCTTGGCAGCCAGCAAAGATGCGGATAAAAATAACCTCAGTCCCTGCCGAGAGGCTCCCCAGACACCAGCCAAGAAATGGTCAGCTGTTGCCTAGTGTCAGATTGTGACCACATCTTGTTTCTGCCAACCCTGATATGCAGACGTGCCAGATTTCCCCTCCCACTTTGGTTTTTGGAGATTTAGTCGCCAGTATAAAACCGTTCCTGTCCAGTGGGTTTAAAATCACTTTTAGGAATGCATTATCAAGTATTTCCTGATCTGCATTGTAAATTTGTAACTTAGACTAGTTTCAGAGCCCCCCCATCAGCCTATATTCATGCATACATATACATGCATATATGTGTACATACATGTATATATGGATGGTTGCTAGAGCCATAATTTTCAGTCACTTCTTAATTCTTGTTTCCCTTTAAAATAACTTTTTAGTTTATCCTAAGAAAGTGTCATTCTTCAACATCGTTGCAAAAATAAATGAACCAAGTTGCAAACATTCTTTTTGACCTTTGGAAAGATTTTCGAAGGTGATTAACTTTTTAGGGACCTATTAGTTATATGTCTGGAAGTCTCATTCTAAGGGACTGAAAAAAATAGGAAAATGTGAAGTCTTCCTTCAAGGAGATTAAAGTCAAACTGCCAAATAAATGAAGAAAAATCAGCTAAAAACTCTAGTCAAGCTGCTAGTTTAGTGATAGTTAATGTAAAGGAATGAGTGAAATGTAAAGAAGTTTGGGACTGTTGAGATTAAAGCTGTTCCTTGGCTCTCATGACTTTCCTCCTGATTAAACAGCTTCTGTTTTATATTATTCTTTTGCCATCTGTCATACCCTCTGATTCTCTTGAGATTCTTGATGTTCTATTCTTCCTTTACACATAAGCTAGGTATTGTGACCCCTCCTAATCTTCCTTGTGAGCCATCTTAGACCCCTCTGTATCACACTCACATCCAAGAAGTCACTAAGTCCTGATAGTTCTACCTGTTAAATGTTCTCCCCAGTCTTCTTTTCATCTCCAAAGCCATGGTTCAGTCAGGCTCTCTCTTGCACTATTAGAGGAACCTGCTGTTCTATTCAGTTCACCTCTTTTGTCATGATTTTGCTTGATGTAAATCTGAGTTGTATCACTCATAATTTTTAAATCTTCAGTAGTTCACTGTCTTTTGCAAAAATTTCATTCTTGCATTGGTACTTAGTGTCATTTACTGCCTCCTGCCACCACATCCCTTACTTCCTCTTTTGATTCACTACTATACCTATCCTCTCCATTCTCATAAAGTTACCAAAGTTCCTTGACTCAGAGATGACTTGAACTCTAAATCTCAAAGTTGTTCCCTATGCCTAGAATGCCTCTCCCTGCTCTTTTGATGTACTAAATCCTGACCATCCTTCAGAATTCAACTTACTGTAGCCTCCACCCCCTAAGAAGGTTTGCAGTCCTCTTCTGTGCCCTTTTGGTATTGCTTTCACTGCTATGGTATGACACTTACCATGTTGTACTGTAATTGTTAGTGACCTTGTCTGTCTACCCTATTGTCCTATAAGTAAACTCTTTGAAGGATATCTTGTTTACCAGTTTGGAGTAACTGACACCACATGGTAAATAGTCAGTAAATGTGAAATGCCTCAGATTGAAGATATAATGTAGATGAATTTGCAAAGACTGCATTTTTCCCTTTCTCTCTTATCTATGGCCCTATATTCATACTCTGCCTGAGACCTTTAAGTTGCCCATCTATTAAGCTATCACAAGCCCCTATGTTCTGTATAAAATAGAAGAAAGCACTCTCACAATGGCATTTTACTCCTGCAACTACAAAAACAATCTAAATGTATATTCAATTCTAAAATGTTTGCAGGTCATGCCCCTCTTAGGTGTTGCAACCTCATGCAGTACCCAACCTACACAACTATATTTACATCTGTTTTGTTATAAAATCTTTTTTTAGTAGATTATTTTACCTTCTGCAGAGCCTTCCTTATCATTCCTGATCTATGCCAGATCTAGCAATGCTGGGAGAATAAAAGTTTTAGACAAGTAGGGCCAGGCTGAGGAAGTTGTTGGATAGCAGAGTACAGATTCTAGTCTTTGTTCTGTGGAGTCTGAGGTCATCAGTGATTTTCGATCATGATCACGTTTCAGGGAATGAAAAAGGTAAGGCCATCTGGCAAGAAAGAGTGAAAGGGCAACTGGAATATTAATGTGGTAGCAGAGGTAGCAGGCTGATCAAAGGCTCATAAAAAATGGGGAAAAAAGGAAGTATTTGAGTGTTATATCTGACCCACCTACTCCTCCCCCTTTCCCTAGAAACTATAGCTCTTCCTGATTCTCTCCCATTTGAAGCCTGCAGCATGTATTGCTATGCACTTGGTTTGGCACCTGAATATACAGAGTGCTTTATTGCATTGTTAACTATTTCTGGCATAGGACTGTAATACATACAGAATAAGGATGCTGGCCTATATGTCTTGTGTCCCTATGTATGGTATTAATGTTCAAGCATAAAATTCTTAATACATATCTATTCAATAAGTGAGTTTTCTCATAGCTCTAAAAATTATATAAGTTGAGCAGTATCCATTTCTACCATTCCTTTCATGCCTGTGTTAAATAGGATTATTGCCTAATATGTCATTCAACCATAGTCTAGTTTAATGGTTCTCAAGTTTTTTTGATCTTCTATCTTTACTCTCTTAAAAACTACTGAGATCTTAAAGAGCTTTTGTTTATATAGGTTACATTCATTGATATTTACCTGATTAGAAATCAAAACTGGAAAAAATTTGAAAACACAAGAATGTCCAAACATTGCATTTTCTCTAAGAGTAATAATGTTATCACATATGATCATGTACCCATTGTCCATTCAAGACAGGAAAGTGAAAAGGAAATGATATCTTAACATTATTTTGAAAATATACCTGGCATTCCAGACCCTGGAGGGGTTCACTTGACCCCATCGCAGCCAACACACACACACACACACACACACACACACACACACTTACATATACACACTCAAAGAACTGCCCAGTCTGCTGATCTATTATAATATTAGCTTTAGTCAATGGAGTTTTAAGGAGCAAATTATATCAAGTACCAAATTCTTTTGAAAATATGTATATGAAAAAATTAAACATGTTAATAAAACATTAATAAAAATAAATTATCCACCCTAAGATATGTTTGTCAACTCCAACAAGAAGTGAGGTGTACACCTTATTGACAATAAGACTGTTGAAAGCAAAGAGGGAAAATACGTTATTCAATAGTCACACTGAAGTTTCTGCTATGCAGTGCGTCTAAGTATAGTAATATCCTTATTTGGAGCCTGCAACGCCATGACTTGCAGGGTTGTAGTGGAAAATATATCAGCAACTAGTTTAGCTTTTTTAAAAATATTTTTTAGTTGTCAATGGATCTTTTATTTATTTATTTGTATGCAGTGCTGAGGATTGAACCCAGGGCCTCACACATGCCAAGCAGGTGTTCTACCACTAAGCCACAACTCCAGCCCTAGTTTAGCTTCCTTTAGTTATGAATTTGCCCCTAATAAATGTATCAAAAAAGTGTGTTACAATTGTTCCATTGTGCTGTATTTTGTTTTTAGCAAAGTTCCAATGGTCCTGTAAAGAAGTCCATGCGTGAGAAGGCTGTGGAGAGAAGGAATGTTAATAAAGAACACAATAGTAACTTTAAAGCAGGATATATTCCAATTGATGAAGATCGGCTCCATAAAACAGGATTGAGAGGGAGAAAGGGCAATTTAGCCATCTGTGTGATTATCCTCTTGTTTATTCTGGCTGTCATCAATTTAATTGTAAGTATATGATACAGAATATTCTCTTTTAATCACCAGGGGGAAATTTTCATCTTACTTTATGGTAATATTCTGAACTTAGTTCCTGTCACTTGTTGGGGGGGTGGCTGTCTTACTTTCTGCTTTTCTATACGTGTTTTATCTCATATAGGCTTTAGTGAACATGTATAAAAAACCTAGTAAGCTGAGGAGGCAACAATAATTGCAGGAAAAGTTGAATGAAAAGACAGGAATCTATTGTTTTAGGAGAGGCAAAGACAATAAAATCATGGCAGAGTTCTCTTTTTAGAAAAAAAGTTTGACAGATTCTTCCCTTTAAAGGACTTAACTTTTAATTAGGATAGAGTCAACTCAATAGAGGAGAACTTTGCCATGATTTTGTTGTCTTTGCCTCTCCTAAAAAATAGATTCCTGTCTTTTCATTCAACATTTTCTGCAATTAGTAATGCCTCTTCAACTGGATTTTAAAATTATAAACCTTTTTAAAAATTATGATTATTATTGTTATTAACACCATATGCAATTTCTTCTTATTTTTTATTTTTATTGGTTAATGGCAGTAAAGATTTGGGTTTTGTAGTCCCAAGTCCCTATTGTCAAGAATGAAAGGATCTGCTGGGTGTGGTGGTGCATGCCTATAATCCCAGAAGCTCAGGAGGCTGAGGCAGGAGGATTGTGAGTTCAGAGACAGCCTCAGCAATTTAGCGAGGTGCTAAGCAATTTAGCAAGACCCTGTGCTCAGTGATTAGGCACCCCTGGGTTCAGTCCCTGGTACCAAAAAGAATGAAAGGATCTGGTAGGTTGATTCATACTATGGTGCTGAGGACCTATAGCCACCTTTTCCAAAGATATTTACTTTTTTAAAGAAAGGGCTTATTAGTCTGAGTTCATGACTCTGATGGTTAATTTTGAAACCTGGAATGCATTTAGGTTGATATTTTTATTTTCAGAGAGTGATTAATGGTATACATAAGACCGCTCATAACATGATCTGCAGCACTTCAAAAGTGAATTTATGTTATTATTACTTCTAATGCTTTCAAGCCAGCCTTTTTATTTTATGTACATTCAAAACATTTGTGTCTAATTATTAACTAAAGTCAGCAAGAGCTAACATTATACATTTTATAGTAGGTACCATAAATAGCTTTACTAGGAGCACATATTCTAAATTTATTTTTATCTTATAACTTTGCATTATTGAAGATTTCTGGTTAAAATGGCAGAACAAAGACATTTCTGTCCTCTTCCAAAAAAAATTTATCCCAAAGTGACAATGTCGAAATATCTTTGAAGAGGGTGAAAGACAACTGAAATCCCAGACCCACAATATATAAAGACAAAAAAGTAGGAGAAGGGATGCCAAACACTTGTCAGTGAGAAGAGATTGGTTGCCTGTTTGTTGGGAGGGGTTGCAGGGTGTGTTAGTGAAGTGCCTTGCTAAACCCTGCAAAGCCTCAGGAGTTGGAAATACAAGTACTTTGAAAAGCATAATCAAGACAGGACCTGAAATAGAACTTGTTTGAAAAAAAATCTATAATAGTCAGATGCCTAGGCCTCCCTCTGTCTCAGCCAGCAGTTAGGCAGCCTCCCCTCTGTACACCATCCCAAACTAGCAGGTGTCTAGACACCTTGGGCCAGACTGGGATCTTTGTGCTTAAGCCTGTTGTAAGAAGGTGGGTTTCCAACCTGAAAGCAGTGCACGGAGGCTGCCTTTCCTGCGCTCCCTTCTCCTCTTCCTCCAGCTCCCTGGCATCAGGCAAGAGGCCAAGGAGCCCTCCATAGGTAACTGAAGCACCTAAACAAAAGATGTGACAATAGTGACTTTTGGCAGGTCCCAGTGAAAAAAACATCGACTCTCACTATCATGAAGCCAATAAGTCACAAGCCCCACCCCACACAGAGAATTTCCTATGATCTTTTTCTCAAAAATCACTGTTAAGTATGAACACTGAGCCAGAGATCAATAGATTTTTGAAGAAAGCTCCAGGAATTGAGAAATGAAAAGGACAAAATACCCAAGTCCTGGGGAAGTATAAACTCAAATTTAGGAAGATAAAGAAAATGCAATGATTGACAGAAAATATTAAGGATATTGAGTCTATGAGACAAGAATCGCATACCATATAAAATGAAGAATAGGAAGAACTCATAAAGATATACACACAGATGGATGAATAGATTTTGGAAAACAAAGGAAAGTAGCTCTTCCAGAATGTTCAACAAAAATGAAGAATCAGTCTGGGAGTTTTCTATTAATAGGAGATTCAGAAGCAAAAACAGAAAAACATTGGAAAGTTATCATAAGAAAAATTTCTAGAAGAGATTAAAAGCTAAGCTACCATTCTAGCTCTGGAATAATGCATCAAGGAAAAAAATGAAATCCAGGCTCTTACTATGAAATGTTAAAAAAAATCATAAATAAAGACCTTAAAATCTTCCTAAAATTTTTCCAGGAAAAAAAATGACTCACTCTTATATAAACAGTAAGTCAGAGTGTCATTGGACCTCTCAAAAACAGAAGAGAGCTAGGCATGGTGGTGCACCCTGTAATCCCAGTGACTCAAGAAGGTGGATGAGGCAGGAGGATTGCAAATTCAAGACCAGCCTGGGCAATTTATCAAGACCCTGTCTCAAAATAAAAAAGGATGGGAATGTAGCTCAGTGGTAGAGTGTTCCAGTACCAACAAAAATATTTTTTAAAACTAGCAATGGAAACTGGAAGGCAATAAAGCAATAGCTTTCAAAGTTCAGAAAGAACATCGTTTAAAATCTAAAAATGCATACCTAGCCAGAGTGTCAGTCAAATGCAACATTCTTGCCATGCACATTATTCAGAAAATTTTGCTTCTACTCTGTTTCTGAGAAAACCACTAGCACTAAAGAAAGTTGGAGATAAGGAAACTGGGTATCTTTCTTGCACAGGAGAAAGACAAAAGGAAATTCTTGCATGAAAGAAAACGAAAAGTACAGGGTTATAGCTGTGCAAGAGGCCAGAGATTGGAGCAGGAAATCCAGACTAGAGCAGGAAAACAGGGGTTCTAGAAGGATTTTCTGAGAGAGAAAAATGAATATATTATCTGAGGAGTTTAGACAGAACATTCTGTTGAGGGCCACAGCCCAGTCATGGTGTTTTTTGCCAGAACGGAATGGTAGAGAGATGACAGATGACAATGGTTGAGAGGTGACAGGTGACGCCAGCAAGCCATTGAGATGACGATGGTTATGTTAAGCTGTGTATTCAATTGTATATTAGACCCCGTGCTGTCCCCCTAGGCCTGCTACTTTGGAGTTCTCATTCCTGGGGAGTTCGTGTTGGTTGGGGAGGTGCCAGAGGAGGGATTTCCAGAGGAGGGATTTCCGGTTGGTGTGTGGTGTGTCAGGGAGAAGGCCGCCTGCGTGGCGTTGGCGGGAGTTGGGAAATAAAGTTTGTTCCTGCTTGAGTGGCTCGTGATTTGTGCCCAGCCAGACTATGGCAATATTCATGGAGAGATTTGGAATGTTGGAGAATAGAAATGTTGAAAGGTTTGAGATAGTTATATTTTCAAAGAAGCTAAGCAAATTAAAGAAGTATTATACAAAGTACAAGAAAAGAACTGCCATCATAATATCATATTTGCTTTAGCAATGAACAGTGTTTACATGGTCATAATACTGAAAATAGATTCATCTGAAACTTGAGGTTGGAATTGGGAGAGAAAAGAGGTAGAAATAAGCTAGACTTCTCATCTGCTAAAATAAGAAATTATTAGATAAAACCTAAAATTGATAAATGTAGAATAATAGTATACATATATATTATTTCATATGTTATTTAAAAACAAGGAGATAAAGCCCACAGCTAAAATTGTTGAAAGTGATGAGCCTGTGGAATGAGACCTGGAAAGGTAGAAGAAATTATAAACCTTTCCTTGGTCTTCTGCATGTAATGCCATGATAAGAATAAAATTGGTTTTGTTTATAAGTGGAAAATCAATTAATATATTCATCTTACTGATTAAATATTTTAGTAACTCTTTTTAATATTTTGGCAATGATTTTTTTTCTTTTCATTTTCCAAGTGTGTCAAGTGTATGCCTGTTAACAATGGGCTTGTGCTTTTTTTCAGATAACCCTTGTTATTTGGGCTGTGATTCGCATTGGACCAAATGGCTGTGACAGCATGGAGTTTCATGAAAGTGGTCTGCTTCGATTTAAGCAAGTATCTGACATGGGAGTTATACATCCTCTTTATAAGAGCACAGTTGGAGGAAGGCGAAATGAAAATTTGGTCATCACTGGCAACAACCAACCTGTAAGTTACGACATTAATTGAAATGCGGTGTGAATGAGAATGTGGGATTAGAGAACAAGTCTTTGTAAAAAACCTAGAGTTGATTATAGGAAAGAAGTATTTTCTTTTAGAGAAAATTAATATATTCATTTAATATTTGCAAATGTATTCAATATTTGTAAATATTTAGTACTCAATAGGGTTGGTTTTATAATCTATTAAGGTTATATGCTTTCTTAATATTCTAGATTTTGTTCAATGGTAGCATTGATAGATATAATTAGTGTAAGAATGGGTAGATTACTAATCTCCACATGAAGCCATTAAGAAAGCTCCTTCCTGGGTTAGAATATCCCATATTTTCTGATAATCTGAAAGAGAGTGTGCCTCTCTGCTCAGTAGCAGGCCATTCCAAGTGGTTGCTCTAACACAGGCTTTTAACTGAGTGAAACCTCAAGAAGGTATTCTCACTTTCATCCCAGCCACCTTAGGCCTTGAGCCATGTTCCCTATGTTCCTCTCTTTATTTATGCAGAGCCAAATAAGCAAATAAACATTTAAGTTTTCATTTTAAAGAATTCTTCTCCCAAGGAAGTAGAGACAGAACACATGCATTTAAAAGCATTTGAAGTTAGTCTATTATTATAGTTAGTTAAATAGTGTTTCATAGTATTTTTTTAGAATAATGTTCTTCATGAATTTTGGTTATAATATTCTTTGAAAATATATTCACAATAGAGTGTTTTTCTGAAGATTGTTTTTCAGCAAGGGACAACAAAGCTCAGTGTAGAAAAGAACAAAACTTCTATTACAAGTGACATTGGAATGCAGTTTTTTGACCCGAGGACTCAACATATCTTATTCAGCACAGACTATGAAACCCATGAGTTTCATTTGCCAAGTGGAGTGAAAAGTCTGAATGTTCAAAAAGCATCTACTGAAAGGGTATGATTTATTTTCTTCACTTTACTAATGGGAGACAATTATTGTCTAAAGTTATAAAGTGGGAGGAGAGTTTCACTTCTTTTGTTTAAATATTTATTTTTTAGTTTTAGGTGGACACAATATCTTTATTTTATTTTTATGTCATGCTGAGAATCAAACCCAGTGTCTCATGCATGCTAGGCCAGTGCGGTACCACTTGAGCCACATCCCCAGACCCTAGTTTCACTTCTTTACAGTGGTATGAAAGAATGTATTCCAGAACATTGGAAAGGATTAGTTCTAGATCTTTCATTATCTAGTTTATGTGAGCAATATCAAGTCCTCTCTTTATTATCAGTTTCCAGATGTAAAAAATTTCCTATCCTCTCTCATGTTTGAAATTCCCATTTATCTGTGATAATTAGTCTCACATTATTTAGAAAAGCTTATCAGTATTTTTTTTTAATTTTTAGATTACCAGCAATGCTACCAGTGATTTAAATATAAAGGTTGATGGAAAGGCTATTGTGCGTGGAAATGAAGGAGTGTTCATTATGGGAAAAACCATTGAATTTCACATGGGTGGTAATATGGAGTTAAAGGCTGTGAGTATTTTCTTAAGAATTTTAAGAGAGTTATTAGGTTCTTGGATACATAAATCCATGTGTAGAATAGTATACAGTTACTAAAAATAGTGATGTATTTTTTTATCATGAAAATATTTTCAAAATGGATTGTGAAGTAAAAGAAAGTTACAAAACAATTTATGAAATATTTCATTTTTATTTTTTAGGACATATCTGTTTATAAAAACTTACAATAATATGTCAAAATATCAATAATATTTAGTTATGGGTAACAGGAAAACAGACAATTTAATTTTATGTTTATTTCTGTTAGTTTGTATTTTCTGAATTTTGTTGGTATTAGTTTAAAAGGCAAAAAAGAAAAACCCAAACTGGAAGATCAAAGTATACATGCCCTAAAGTTGTTGTTTAAAGAATCTTCATGTCCTTTCCTGTTTTTTATCCAGTGTCATGATAAAAACAATTATCAAATGTATCAAGTGTATTTTATTTAAACATCTATTATTAATTATATAGGGAGAAGATTTTTGCCTTATTGCAGCTGCTGAAAATTAAATTTCTTTGTGTTTCACAGATTTTATATGAACTTTAGCAGATATCGTATTTCATATAAGGGAGCCATAAGTTCAAAAACTTTTACCAGCTCATAATTTTGGTCAAATGCCTTTGGGCACTTCTATATACTACTTAAGTAAAACTAATAAATTTATCTTACCAAGCATTGCATGATAAAAGTGACTTCAAGCCTAAAGACTTATTTACTCCCCCCCTTTTTAAAAAGTGAATTGCACATTTTTTAGGAATAATGAACTTTAGAAAATGAGGTAGTTGTTTCACTTTCATAAACAAATTTTTTCCCTAAAGCTCATAATTTCATTTCTAAATAATAAAGATAAGCAGAAAGTGTAATTCTTGCCAGAAACACCCTAACAATATTGAGTAGTTTTACTTGCATTATGCTAAGAAGCCCTTCCTCTAAGAGAGCGATATTGAGCACCAGCCACAGCTGGGCTGTTGTTTTGTGCTTAAGAAAGCTGAAGAGAAAAGCAAGAGGTGTGAACCATTTGTAGAGACCATACACAAATTGTTTAAATGTTGAAATACTTGAAAATATGTATACATACCAGTTTCTTCGCAGCCAAAAAAAAAAAAGAAAGATAACTAGCTTTATAATTCAGTTAATATCAATGGTTAGTTTTAAAGAATATAAGCTATACTCATAAGAATTTTATCAAACTACCTTTTCAAATCCCCTTTTTCCTCACTTTCTCTCCCCCTCTCTCTCCCCCTCCACTCTCCCCCCCACCTCTCATTTTAATTTTTCTTTTTTGTGGTACTGGGAATCAAACCCAGAGTCTCACACACATGCTAAGTAAGCATTCTCCACTGAGCTACATTCCCAGCCCTTATTTTTCATTTTTAATTAACATGTTGTGTACATATTTATGAGGTACAATGTGATGTTTTGGTAGATAAATACAATGTGTAATGATCAAAATAGAGTAATTAGCATATCCATCACCTCAAACATTTATTGTTTCTTTGTGGTAAGAATATTCAAAATCCTCTCTTCTAGCTATTTTTAAGTGTACAACATATTGTTAACTGTATTCACCCTACTATGTAATAGAACTCTAGAATTTATTGAAAATGCCTAAGTAATTTAAAGAAAGTAAAATTAATGACCACAAGATGGCAGCATTGGAACAAAATTTGAAAACTAATCACTTAAGAATTATATTTATTCAATATGTAGCTTGAGCATTCCTATTCCAAAAATTTGGATTAGGAATACTTGACCAGTAAAATATTCCAAAATCCAAAACACTGTGAAATGTGAAACACTTCTGTTCCAAGCATTTCAGATAAGGGATATTCAGCCTGTAACACCACTACATAGTGCATTAGCCATTTCTATTGCTTTTTAACCATCTTCCTGTCATCTCATCTTGTAAATACCCTCTGCGAGATGATTTAGAACTCCTGCCTTAGCCTTTCTTCTGAACTAACATTCATATACACAAATGCCTACTTACTTTCTCTACTTCCATGTCTAATAGCACCTGAAATCTAACAAGTCTAAAATCTTGATATCCTACTTCCTCACCAGTCCTACATTTCTTTCAGTGTTCTGTCCTGTAAAATGATAACCCATCAGCAAAGCCTTCTGGCTTTACTTTCAGAAGATGTACAGAGGCTGGCTGCTTCTCATCACCTCCATCATCACCACTATGGTATGAACTGCCATCATTTTCCTGCCTGAATTGTTGGAACAGCCTCCTAACTGGTCCTTTTGTGACTTTCTTCACATCTGTAGTTATTTTTCTGCCTTTCAACCAGAATGATTTTCTGGTTGAAAATCAGTCACATCACTTCCCCATTCGGAATCCTCTATATGGCTTCCGTCTAATTTCACATAAAATCTAGAATTCATTCCTTTGACTTTCACATCTGGTTCCTGATTATGTCTCCTCAGCCTCTGTGCTCCATTCATAGTGGCCACCTTATTGTCCCTAGAACACCAGGCACATCTTTACCTTTGCATGTACCGTTTTCTCAGCTTGGAATTCCCTTCCCCAGTTACCTCCCTGACTTAACTTTCTCACTTCTTCCAGTTTCTGTTGGAATGTGACCTTATCAGGGAGGCCTTTCCTGACTCTTTTATAAAATAGGATCCCCACCTGCTCACTCTCTCTACTTACCCTGCTTTATGTTTCCCCAGAATTTATCCCATCTGCTCCCCTATATGTCTTACCTCTTCATTTGTTTATTGTTTGCTCCCCTCCCTGAAATGGCAGCCTTCTGAGAACTTTTTTACTTCTGTGTCACTAGCACCTAGGATAGTGCCTGGTACATAGTGGGCACTTAATAATTATTTATTGAACGAATGAAAGAAAGAATGAAGAAAGGAAAGAAGTGAGATACGCTTAGTGTTTCCTCTTAAAACTGGGGTTTTAAGAGCCTATGTTATAAAAGTGTTTCTGGAGCAATGGCCTTAAAGAGGAAAAATCTCCAGACAGTTTTGAGTATCTGGTTTTCTAAATTATATGGTTTTAATCTAGTTAATTCAATCTTCATTAATTAAAATTAATTGCCTGTAAGAGAAAATGCCTTCTTCTTCTCATCTTCACAAACTTATCAGTCAGTAACTTTGTTAATATTCTCTTAGGAATTAACAAGTGAAAATGAGACATAATCAACATTAATTTTATTATACACTTAGGAGTTTTGTTGTAACTTTAACTAACAATTGAAAGTTATACTGCAATCTGTATAAGGGGTAAAAATGGGAGTTCATAACCCACTTGAATCACAGTGTGAAATATGATATATCAAGAACTATGTAATGTTTTGAACAACCAATAAAAAATTTAAAAAAAAGAAAGTTATATGGCAGGTTTATTGACATTCAGTCCAACTGAATAAACTAAGAAGTCACCAGTTGAATCTTGATGGTTGTTTTGGGTTTTGATGTTGCCATTATTGTTTTAGTCGTGATTTTACTCTCTAACTGCCTTCTTTTCGTGTTAATATTCTGGCAAGTTTTGTTTAATAACTTTGTTCTATACTCATATGTGGAAGTAAATAAATTGTATTATTATCCTTTTTGTAGGAAAACAGCATCATCCTAAATGGAACTGTGATGGTCAGCACAAGTCGATTACCCAGTTCCTCCAGTGGGGACCAGCTGGGTGGGGGCGACTGGGTGCGCTACAAGCTCTGCATGTGTGCTGATGGGACTCTCTTCAAAGTACAAGTAACTGGACAGAACATGGGCTGCCAAATCTCAGACAACCCTTGCGGGAACACACATTAGAAGAGCCCAGAGGTCATCAGTATGTTTATATCTTGACTTGACTTGACCTTCCCCGCCCCCCCGCCCAAGTATGCATGCAAATCATGTTTTTACAGAGTTTGTGATAATTTGTAATTATTTTAACTGAAGAGCACTACTGTATCTATTATGTAGTCTCCATATTTAAAATATTCTTGAGAGTCTAAATTCTAATACATTTTATTAAGTTGCACTGATTTTTCAAGTGACAGTCCCCTAAAATCATTATAAGAAGTTAATAAAATCAAAATTAATCTTTAAAAAAGTGTTTTTTAAAAATTCTACTATCCTTGACTAAAGGATAAAGGGCTGACGCAACTGTTTAGATTCACTGTAATAAGTTTCTAATGGGAATAGACCCATTAGAGATGTTTAAAAGGCATACCATCGATGTTTCATGTTCTATTTTTTGGTTTCTAAAAGAAAAGAGGTGGATTTTTAGTGTATTAACCTTGAGCCATATTCTCACATGCCAGTAAAGTCATTAAAGAACTTGATGTTTGTGAGAGAATAAACTGTGGTTCCTTAGCCTTTCACTAAGAAGAAAACACTCGGTGATAGAATGTTTATTTGCTATAATGATAATTATTGAGAGTTCACAGTGTGGTAGAAAGCAGACACATGCTCAGTTTTAACTTTTAAGTAATGATAGCTTTTAAGTCATTTGTTGAGTGTCTCAGATTTCCCAGGCATTGCATATTTAATATCTCTAGTTCTCACTGAGGCTCTCTGAATAGGTGTTATTATCCCAGTTTTACCCATTAGGAACTGAGGATCAGACAAATTAATAAACTTGCCTAAGATGATATAGTAAATAGCAGAGTTGGGATTGGAATGCAGGTGTGATTCAAACCTAGATGTAATTGATTCCAAATATCATGCTCTTTTTACTATCTGCACTGAATTCTCAATTATTTAAAACTCTAGAAAGATGAAGGACTAAATGAAACTTCCCTAAGGTAATAAAATCAAACAAAACAGTTAGACTACTCTATTTAAAAGAAATAAATCTCGTATCAGATAAAAAAAATCACTGTCAGATTTTAACTATCTTAAGCCAATTCCAAAATATTATTCTATATAGAGGTGTAATTGGCCTACCTGTGACTTACCAGTTTTCCAAATAAAGGTCATTGGCACACTGGATTACCTGAATAGGTTCCAGAGGTACAGGGACATTCTCACCCTTAGCCCTCAGGGCAGCTCAGTGCAGTGGGAGACAGTAGGCCTAGCCAAGTCCTGCTGGTTTTACGACAGCATACCACACTAATGTCACCCTTTTTAATGTGTCAGGATACGGAACTAAAAGCAGGAGATAATACACAAAATTTTTGAGTGTAAGAACTTATCTTCTAATATCACTATCTCATTATAATTATACCCTCAAACCAGTTGATTTTTAACATATTCTGTATTTCATATGAAAGGAACTCTCTGGTAATTTTAAGACACACACAGGATCAGGGACAGGGAACCCAAAGTAGATTGCCATAGAATAGGCAGTAGGTACATATCATAGGTTCTATTTGCAATGAAATATAACCATGTTCTGTCATGGTCACTTTGTGTAGATAAGAAAATCAATGCAAAAAATTGTATTCAATATAGTCATGGTTCTCTTTTACAGAAAAACTATATACCTTAAAGATTATGAAGTCAATAAATTCTACTGAAATAGGATTGATTTACTACATAATACTCAGAGCAGTTTTTAAGTGAAAAAAAAGTGAGAGATTTCTGACCTCTGAGTATTATTAGTTAAAGTGATATTTGAAACCTTTTAGATATCTTTTAATGTCTGAATGATTCTCAGAAAATAATCATTGAAATTTTCATTTAGATGTTCAGTATATTTTTAAATTGTACATTCATTACTTGTCTATTTAGATTTGTTTTGAAAGTTTCTTTAAATATTTTTACTAAAACCACAGAACACTATATTACAAAGTATTATTTATTGAATCTAATTCATGATATAGTCTATTTTTACTTCTCTTTGAGAAATACTTGTGTTTTTGATACATTTCCATTAAGTGCTTTTGACATGAGAAGATATTTTGGTGTTTTTATAAAATTGACTGTTATCAGGTATAGCATTTTAGGATACTCTGTAGGTAGTCTTTGCTTTTCCACTGAAATGTAGACCTGGAAAACTTATTGGGAAGAAGAACAAGAACAAACCACCCATTTTACCTGTGACCTATTTTGATTCACAGTAAAATTTCAGCAACTCAATAGCACCCCCAGATGGTGTTTTTCTATAAAGGGATAAATTTACCTCTTCCTGATTCCATTAAGCACTGACAGGGCAAGCAGCAGCTTTGGGAGAGGTGAATGATAGAGGACCCTAAGAAGGATGTAGATACATGCTTGTTTGAATAATGACAGTATTCTAGAGGTGGATGACCATGACATGGGGAATAAAAATAAATACATGTATGATTTCTTAGAGACTGTCTAATGGGCAGATAGGAAAAATGCAAAACAACACAAAGCAGGGACTGCCTATATATAGTCTGCAATATTTTAAAATACACTAATTTGTATTTTTTGGCATTGTGAAAAAATGAATAAATTTTGTGTGATAGTTTTGATGATGAAAGATAGAAATTCTATCTAGTTTTGAATGAGTGTTTTTTAAGGAAGTAAAATGTTTTGGTGCTAAACTTGACAGCAAAGAGACCATTGAAATGCTGACAGTTTTACTCATCTGAAGTGTTAAGAGGGGCAAAGATTAGAAATCATGCCATACAAAAAAAAAATTAAGTAGATAAAAATTTGTTTCAGATTGCTAACTTGCATTTCAGTTCATTCAATTTGTAATGACTATTAATGACTTCTGTTTACAATAAAAATTCTGTAAACTATTGGCTGTTAGTTTTTTAGTGTTTATATGTTCATGGATTTCCACTTGATCATGCAGACATTATAAATTTAAATATGTTTTGAGAATGGAATTTCATCTGTATTTATGTAATATCTCTGGATATCAGATTTAGAAAGTTGCAGTGTGGATAGTCCTACCCCATTTGCATTGCAGAAGGCATCTCTCCAGCATCCAGGGAATTAACTGTGCACACTGTTACCCTGGCAAGCGGCCAATGCTGGAGATGAAAGGGTGAAGGCTTGCCACTTAGCTAGCATGATGGCAGGAGGGGAGGAGCCTCCAAGGCTCAGTTCTGAAATCCCCACCTGGCTAATTCAGCTATAGACCAACTTGAAAACTACCTAAGGCTCTTAAGGTATGTCTCAGAAGCAGCGTATCATATTTTTCCACATCTTCTCATCACCAAAATAGTCTTAGTTTTTTTTTCTTTCTCTTTTTCCAACTTGTTTTTATCTAAGAATGAATTCTTCATTTCGTTTCTACTTTTTTTCCTCTACTACCTTCTTCCTCCTCTTTCTCTCTGACTTAACACACCCATGCCCAGTATTTCTAACTGCTTCTTCAAACTTCAGCTTGAATATGTCTATTTAAAGATTTACATTTTATCTTATTGTTTTCAGTTTCCTCACAAACTTTTTCTGGAGTTCTTAGTGCTAAACAGCACTAAGAATTTATGTATACCCAGTCTATATAAATTTCTATGTAATAAAAATAATGTTTCTTTACAAATAAATAACTTTCACTGTAAGATAATAGGATTATTCTTATGTGTTTTGAACTTAAATCCATTAACGTATCAATGTCTTCAATTTAAAAAGAAGCAAGGCAATAGAAATATTTAAGTTAAAAACTTTTTAAGAAAAAGTATTTTTCAACTACATCTTTCTCTTCAGTACTACAAAGTGATGTGCTTCTTTAAATGATTTTGTTGTTGTTGCTAATGTTATAGTATTAGCTGCATATACAGTTATAATGATTACAGCTTGAATGTAGAAGGAAATATTTTTTGACTGAACAAATTAATTCAGTTTCTGTGCATAAGGGACACACTATAAATCACTCCTCCTGCTATAGGGCAGCTTTGCAGTTCATGGTCATGTGTATGAATTTAGATGTCATCCAGAATTTGAGAGAACTGACCCTGTGTGAAAAAAAGTTTAAAACTTAACACTGTAAATTTAATTTAGTCCACACATTAATTCATGCAAACAAAGCATAGCCCAGAGAGAGACTACAGACTATTAAAAATATAAAATGGAAATGTGTGTGTGTGTTTAAAAATATAAAACATGGAAATGTGTATGGGTGTGTGTGTGTGTGAAAACACTAAAAATGCAGGATAGTATTCATTCAATAAATATTTAATGAAACATTTGTGAAGGCATAAAGACAAATAGAGGCTAGAGCATAGGATTTGAGATGAGTATGGAAGAATGTATAGGATTTCGACTGAGGAGAGGAAAAGGCATTGAGATTAGAATTGGGAATAGTTGAAAAGCTAATTTTGACATGAGATGTGCATATATAGTTCTGTGCCTAAGCCATATCTTGTGGTTGCTCCACATGTATTTTTCAAACTAGTTCATGAGGTTAGCTAGATAACTCAAATCTTTGAATGCCACTCTGAGAGATTTGGACTATAGGCAGTAAGGAGCCCTTTGAGGATTCTGATCATCTCATTGATAAGGGAATTACACAAGAAAAACAGTATTGTGGGAAGATAATGCTTCAGAATCACCTAAAATGGATCAAGAAAAAAAGAAGAGTCAAAGGCAGGAAGATCAATTAAAACATTCTAGTATTTTTGACTATAGCAATGAAAACTAGAAAGTGTGCCATTAAATCAGAAAGGAAGGAACTATTTGTTGTAACTGCATACTGAATAATGTGGTTATTTATACACTGATTTTTAGGTGGAATTTTAAAATAATTGCAAAAGCCCATTTGCATTTCTTTTTAAAATTATTTTTGTGTATGCATTCAGCCTTTGTGGCTTGTATTTATACTTATAAAACTTTCAGTTGCTTCTCAAGAATTTTTAGTGAAAAAGATACCTGAGGTTTCTATCTCTCACTGTATCTATGTGGTTCTGGGGCAGAACATCCTTTTCATAACACATTTATGTTGTAAAGATTTAAATGATTTGAAAAGTCACAAAAACCACAAAGACACAAAGATTTTATTTTTCTAGTCATGGAAAAAAGTATATGTTTGGCAAGTTGAACTTTCTACTTACAGGGTTATGGGAAGTTCACAGTTTAGTGTAACTGGATATCATTCATGTAATAAACCACGTGGCTTACAATTTTCTAGATAAGCATAGCAGACTTTGCTCCCTACTAATGATCAGCAAAGAAACAGAGAAGTCTTCTTGGTAAGTTTCACTCACTCCAAAGCAGACTATGCAGTGAATGATACTGAAAAAGCAGGTGTCAAGGTGAGGACTTATTAAATGTATATTTTCTGAAAATGCAGACAAGTGCTTTCTTTAAAGTGCTATAAATAAAATTTTATGCTAGTTATACCATTTCAGTAACTACTGAAATGTTTTTAATGTCTTGACTTCTAAGAAATCAGTCACTTAAATTGAAAATCAAGATAACTTTCCTGAATCTTAGAAGTAGAAATTAAATATCCTGCTTCTTATTTGCTGCTACTTTTTATGTAAATTATTTTGAAAAATCAAATTTTTTTTCATTTTTCCAGGCATTATGAAAAACTTCTATTTCAGAGTTATTACCATAGTTATAGGTGTTTTCTTTACTGGAACAAGAGAAAATCCATCAGGAAAAAGCAATATTTTATTCAATTCGGAGGACCAAAGTAATAAATATCTCCTAACAAATTGTTCTACTGGAAAGCATGAGCTACCCATGGACTCATCACAGACAGCAGCCACAGTGAACGTAAGCTTCAGTTTCTTTAGAGTTCTCTTACAGTCTCACACGATAAAAGAAGAATGGAAAATAAAACACCTGGACCTCCCTGATACTCTCATATGGAAAATGACCTTGAGCCCTCTCACACCTTTACATGCTTTGGAAATACTCAACCTAAGCAACAGTGCCATCCACTCCATCTCATTGGATCTATCCAGTCCTCACTCCTCACCAGAAAAACACCATAGAAGCAGCTTCCAAAATGAACTTCTCTTTCTAAAGGTGCTAATTCTTCAAAGAAATAAACTCACTGACACTCCCAAGGGTGAGTACAATTTGAAGAGGTGGACTAGAGAGAGAAACGAGTATGAGGAGAATTAATGTTTTATGTTAATAAGAATTCCGTATTTGTTTTCATTTTCAAGGGATCAACTGACAATAAGGCAATTTGATCAGAGCAAATACAGTAAAAGGTTTCACAGTGGCATTGGAAGTCATATGTAGAATTTATAATCAATACAATTTAATCTCTCATTATTATAACTTTAATGTTAAATAGAGTTGTTGAGAGACAGTAAGAATTATTGAAGTGCTAAATAAGAAAGTGTGATTTTTAAGCTATTTTGTTTATCTGGTATTTGTTAATATGGAAAAGCATGAGAAACAGCTAGTTCAGATATTTTTAATATATAATGTAATTTAAATTTATGTTGCCATGTTTATAAATTTTTCTTTATAGAATATGTTTTGCCTCTTCTGATCTAGTTGTCCTTCAACTGTAGGCCAGAAATGTGCCAATGTTACATATAAGTTTGTAAGCTTTCTGATTATCAAATCAAAATCGGAATTCCTTGTTCTAGATTCTAACAGAATACTTTTCTTCTTATAGTAAATTCTCATGTGACATTCAGTAGTCTACATGTTAGAATCCCTTTACTGTGAATTGTTTTATTTAGAAAATACATCAGGTTCATAAGGCAAAACTTCTTTTGCCCTTTTTATATTCTGGAGTGCTGGGAAATTTTCTTACTCCGTTAGTGTTGTTGTTTGTTTGTTTGTTTTGAGTCTTGTTCACCGTTTGTCAAGCACCTACTTGATGCAAGATACTTATGCTTAAAAAAAGTAATGATTTTGCCTGCTTTCTCCATCTCAAATCATGCATATTTAGCTTTTCTCATTTTTCAGTTCTTATGTTTCAGATAGATAGATAGATATGGAGGGGTTTTTTGTTTGTTTTGTTTGTTAATTTTGCCTTTCCCCAGCTTCAGGCCTTCTTTTAAGCATCATTTGGCAATAATAATCTCGCAGGTAAAGGCATGATTATTTCAGTCACCTTATCAGCAGAACTGTGTGAGAAGGTGGGAGTGTTTTTTTTTTCTCTTTGACCTTCTTCATGAATACAATGTATAGTATTTTCAGTGCAAAGTGTAAATAATTAGATTTCATTTTATAATTTTTATTTTTTGTTCTTATTACAAAAGGAATGTCTGCTATTTGTAGAATTTTCATGGATTTAAGAAGCATTAAAAAGTAAAATTTAAACTCACTTATGTAATACATATTCTTTAAGTTTATTCTTTATATCTAAATATACATTTTTCTTCCAGTGATACTGTACATAATATTTCATAATTTGTATTTTCCTATCAGGACATTTTGGGCATACTTATATAATTAAGTAATCTCATAAATAATATTTGAAATAGTTGGATAGTTCTCATATATGTTCCCTAATTGGATTAATAACTTTTATTTCCATTTTGATATATTTGAATGAGCATTATTATAGTTATATGTATCCATTTGACCTAACGTATTTTTAAGCAAGTGTCGTAGATATAAACCTCACTCTACAAATTCAAGTGTCCTAGAGATATAACATTTTGCAGTCTCTAACATAATTTGTGATTCTGAGTCCCCAAGAGGGTGGTTGTAGGGATATATAACATCTTTCATTGGCTTTTCTCTGCCTTTCCCCAG